AAGAAGCGGGTATGAACTAGCTTCTGTTAATTTTTAAGCAGTTAATGACTTTTGAAAATAATTTAACTTTTGTTTACTTTTGGCTTTGCAGGAAAATCCAGCATACGAAAAGTTTAGGCAGCATGGGTTAAAGTTCCGGACTGAATTGGAAACTATATTCAAGGGCACTATGGCATCAGGACAGGATATGTGGTCACCTTCTTCGACCCAGCCTGAGCCACAGAGGGCTGATCAGCCAAATGATTACCGACCCACAATGGATTGGGAAGAAGGTTCAGGGGACAGTGAAGACGGGCTGATAGGTGTTGACACTGGACGCCGTGCAGGAGTTTCGGATGATTTGGACGGTATAAATTTAACTGCAAACACATCAAACACTGCACCCAATATACCTAGTGGTTCAGGGAGCCAAGGAAAGAGGAAGAGAGGTGGAGGGTTGGATAAATACAAGAAGCAAAAAATGCCAGCGACAAAAAGAATAGCAGATGCAGTAAGCTCGATTGAGAAGGCTTCCATTAGTACAGCAGCGGCAATAAACAAAATCTCCAATAGTGATAACACTACTGAGCTGACTGCTGATTTGTTGAGTATGGAGGAAATTGTCAATGACACTCATCTTTGTGTCATGTGTTGTAATCTGCTGGCAAACAAGACTTTCAGGGACATATATGCTGGTCTGAGAGAAAATCGGAAGGTATTAGTGGCTTGGTTGAAGCACAATGCTGAAAATCCACCGCCGTATGCTGCACCTAAGAATCCTTGAGTTGTGCCAGGGGACTTGTTATGACTTCTGTTTTTCTACCTTAATGTTGTATTATGTATTATGTGTTATGACGATGTATTTAATGACTAGGTTTAATGTTATGTGTTTCGTGACTATGTTTAATGACTAAGTTTAATATTGTATGTTTCATGACTATGTTTAATTATTATGTTAAAGTTTAATGATAATTTGTGTATTATCTTTTCTTTTCTTTTCTTTTTTGTGAAAATTTTTACTTACCTTTAGTATTTATCTATTCACAGGTAACACACATTTATTATGTCTGATTCAACGGAGGGTTGGGGCGAGGGTTGGGAGGATGATTGGGGAGATGAATTGTCTCAATTAGTTCCCGCTTTACATGAACAGACAACACAATTATCAGAGCTAAGTGTGTTAATGGGTCAGTATGTGACACCTTTTCTGTGCAAACAGCCATGTAGAACTAGTGAACAGACTGGTTATTTGTGGGTTCAAGAACTTTTAGACGGGCATGAAGGACGGTCTAAGGATATGTTTCGAATGGACATAGAGACATTTCATCAGTTATGTTCTAAATTGGTTGAACATGGGTTACAAAATACTAAGTACATAGGTGTCCATGAATCTGTTGCCATGTTCTTGAATACAATTGCGCATGGTCAGTGTAATAGGATGATTCAGGAAAGGTTTCAGCGTTCAGGCAAGACAAATATATCAATAGGAAGGGATTTCCTAGTCAAAATGTCATGGCCGTATGTGATTGGAATATGTGCTTCACATTCGTGTTGGCGGGCTGGGAAGGTAGTGCACATGATGCTCGTGTCTTTCATTCTGCTATCTCAACTCCATCCATGAATTTCCCTCATCCACCTGAAGGTATATTTCTTTAATTTCCAAATTAATTATTTTTAAATTCAGCTTCACTTGTATTATTTTCACCTTAACATACTTGAGTCATGATTTTTTAGGAAAATATTATTTGGTTGATGCTGGTTATCCATCACAAATGGGATACCTTGGCCCGTACAGACGTGAACGCTATCATCTCCCAGACTTTAATCGTCACCCAGGATTTACAAATCAGAATGAGGCCTTCAATTATTATCATTCAAGTTTGAGATCCGCTATTGAAAGAACTTTTGGGGTGTGGAAGAAAAGGTTTGTAATCTTAAAAAATATGCCCAGATTCAAGTTTCAAACACAGGTCTGCATAGTTTGTGCAACAATGGCTGTCCATAATTTTATCAGGCAAAATTCTCCAACTGATGATCACTTTGTAGAAGCTGAACATGGAAGTGTAATAGATGAAGACAATAATCATGCAGCTGGTGAGGCATCCTCGTCAAGTTTAACATCTGCCGCACAAATGAATCGTGTTCGTGACTCAATTAGGGACCAAATTGTGCAAAGCTTACTATCTAATTAGTTATGTGATTTCATTTACTTTAATTAGAGACCAAATGAATTTTAATTTATATTCATGTTTGTCCATTATGTATACTTCATTAATTATCTATGACGTGTTTTTAATTTTTTTCTCCGTAATAAATATTTTTATTTCATAATTTCACAAATAAACTATTTATGTTTTATCATAATAATTTTATACTTTTTTTAAAACTATTATCAAATTAAAAACATAAAATTTTAAAAACTACTATTCAATAAAATCCATGCCCTTTTTAGTCATTTTACACCTAAACTAACTTTTTCATTCATCATCCAAACAACTTTCAGCTTTTTCAACTGACTTTTCAAAAGCACCTATCCAAACATACTCTAACTGACTTTTACTCTAACTTCAGTTACAAAAGTCAGTTGAGCTAGAAGTCAGTTTTGCCCAACGCCAATCCAAACATACCCTAACTCGTTGGTGTGGTTCCTGTTCCCAATGGGCAGATTCAATCCGCCAGCTAGGAGACAACCTCAACTCTGAGAGATGCTTCACGTCAACTCAATAACAAGGGTTCTCAACTCTTTCGTTGACCATCAAATTGTTTTCCTTTTTCATCTTAGAGGTGTTGATTTTCTCAGATGGCCAATAGTTTAAAAAAAAAAAAACAGAGAGAAAAGAAAAGAGATGTTGATTTTCTCAATTTCAGGTGTCCTTTTTTTTGTCTCCAGTGCCTCTTCGAGCAGTGTTAATTTGCTACTTATATGCTCTCAATTATGGCCCTTTTTAAAATCATGATTAGAGTCACTTATAAGCTGCTTGTAAGCATTTTAAATGGGTCCAATATATGCCAAACACATTCAGTTTTTGTAACAATGCAAGTATGACCCTGTTTAATGAATGAAAAGTTGATTAGTCAAACTAAATAACATAATAAAAAAAATTTAACGAGATTCCAATTGATTTGCAAAAGCACCAAATCTTGAAACTATAAGGGAGAATAATTGGATTTTATAATAATAATTGGATTTTTATATGATTAAATAGATATGTTTTGGGGATTATTAAATATTATATGCATCTTCAGTTGATTAGATGTGATTATATATAATTATATACGCACACGCTATCCGATTATCTCCGCTGCCTCTTCTCTACCCCTAGACGATGCCGTTTTCGCTCTAAAATGGAGTCACGCACGCTGGCGTGCCACTTCTCTCCGATTCCCACTTGCCACATTGGCATCACCTCATCACTAATTTTAATGCCAAGAAAAAATCCCGACCAAACACATCAAACAAAGTAACAAAATTGGTCAAAGAAATACATAAATATAATCAGAAAATTAAAAAAAAAAATCCTTCAAAACATCTCAGGAGAATCAAATTCCTGTATCCTCGTTTTGCCTCTATAAAATCATAATTTTAAAAATATTTTTTTAATTTACGAAGAAAACATGTAGATAAGTTTATTTTAATTTGGAAAAAAAATGTACTTATAAAAAATATTTTTCATGTTTGTCAAAGACTCAAACAACCCCTGAAAGGACTATTGAAGATAAGCATAAAATCAATGATGGTTTATGATGGTAATGAGTCTGGTCCTGTGGAGACTCCAAAAAATGCTCACCTTTATGGATAGAAGAGACAAAGTGGGGGGCCCACCTTGGAAAAATTATTTGAGTCTCAGGCAATTTTGTTATCGTCTCCTTGTTCTAGAAAATTTGATGCTGATAATTCACGGGTTATTTTGCGGAGGCCTGGCAATTTGTGGGTTCCATATGTTATTTTCCATCTTCTTTTTTCGTCCTTTCTATTTTTCTCTCCATGGAAAAGTCGGGTAAAAGGCAACTTTTTATCTCTGTTTTCCCCAGCTTTTCTGTCTCTTCCACTTTTTTCTCCATTCATGCATATATAGAAAGAACAGAGATTAAGTTGCCTATTAATTTATTTTAGAATATAAAATATCTTTTTTATTACATAATATACAGAAACAAAAGGAAAATTAAATGCCAACATATGCTACAAAAATCTAAACCTATTCAAGATGCTGGTAGTATCAGCTACAAGGCATTACAGATTTCATGAAGGATATAACGAGATTTTTATGGAAATGATATAGTAAAATCTCGACCCAAAAAAAAAACCCAGAAAAATCTTGTCGATTCAAATTTTTAAGGGATTTTATCAATACAAATTCCACGAAGTGGTTTTCACTTTTCACTCAATAAATTAAAATATTAATATATAGAAATATTATTATCTCTCACAGGCCGGGAAAGACCCCCTGTCAATTTAAATATAATTAAAAGAAAACAAGGAACGCCGTTTTAGACAGTTGATGGCAAAACTTAATTGCATTATGCACCTTCTAAGTAATTTAAATTATTAACAATTGTTTACGGTAATTTTTCATTAGTTGTAGGTTGGTTCATCCACTTTAATAATTGTCCTCAAAGCTCGCTCCAACTACTAGTCAAACATGGAACTAGTTTCGGTACTCATCCATTTGATGAACACCATAAGCTCATCAGATTTGAACCGTCCATATTTCATTTGGATGGTTCAGATTTGATTTTTTTTTATTTTTATTTATTTAAAATAATTATTTTAATATGTAGAGAATCTATAATAGTGATGATCTCTTAACTATCATTCTTTCAAAAAATAGTTTATTCTATTTAAAAATAATTAATTAAAAAAATTAAATCTAAACCTTCTAAATAAGATATAGACGGTTTAGATCTGATGAGCTTATGGTGCTCACCGAAACCGTCAAACATTGCTATCCGTTGTTCCCTGCATTTCTATCTTCCCCTTCTCACTTTCGTTCTTCACTTCTTTGCTGCACCCAAACCAAACCATGGCCGACTTTATTAATCCAGTCATCGACATCCTAACTCGTTTGTGTGGTTACTGTTCCAAATGGGCAGATTCAATAAACCAACTAGGAGACAACCTCATCTCTTTGAGAAATGCTTCAAATGAACTCGATGACATGTATGTTGATGTCAAGAGGAGGGTCGAATCGGCGGAGCAGGATCCAGATCCAGAGTTGACGGTTTTGGAGGTGGTAAGGGGTTGGATGGGCAGAGTTGAAGAGCTGCAAAAGGGGGTCCAGGCCATTCTGCAGCAAGGCGATCAAGAAATACAAGCGAAGTGTTTTGGGGGTCGCTGTCCCAAAAATTGTCGGGCTTGCTACAAGCTACACAAAGACGCTACCCAGAAGTTGAGTGATGTAAATGCTCTTATAAGCAATGGGCATTTTGATGTTGTAGCAGAAAAGTTTGCTTGTGATCAGTTTGAAGAACTTCCTGTGGATACGGCTGTGGGTGTAGAATCAACATTTGAGGAGCTACGTTCATGCTTTGAGAACAATCAGGTGCGTGTCATTGGTTTGTATGGGATAGGAGGGGTAGGCAAAACAACTCTGCTTAAGAAATTCAACAATGATTTCCTCTCAACAATGCCACAATATGTAGTCATCTGGGTTGAGGCATCTAAAGATGTAGATCCAGGAAAAATACAAGAAGATATTAGGAAGAAATTACGCATTGGAGATGATATTTGGAATAATAGGACAGTGAATGACAGAGCTCGTTTTTTATATAATATCTTAAAGAGTAAGAAATTTGCGTTGTTAGTAGATGACGTGTGGGAAAGGATTGACATGTTGAAATTAGGGGTTCCTTCTCCTAAAGATCATGAATGTAAGATAATATTCACAACTCGGTCACAAGAGATATGCGGCCAAATGGATGCACAGAAAAGCATAAAAGTAAATTGCCTCACGTTTGATAAAGCATTTGAGTTGTTCAAGGAGAAAATGGATGAAAATGCTCTTGAGAACCCTCATATATTGACTCTTGCAAAGCAAGTGGTGAAAGAGTGTCAAGGCCTACCACTCGCTCTTTGTACCGTTGGACGTGCCATGGCTAACAAGGTGACTCCCACTGAATGGAGCCGTGCTATAGAAATTTTGAGGAGTTATCCATCAAAAGTCCAAGGTATTGTTAATGATGTGTATTACTTGCTTGAATTTAGTTATGAGAGACTGCCGGATGATACTTACAAATCGTGTTTTCTGTATTGTGCCTTATTCCCTGAAGATTATAGCTTTAAAAAACAAGAGCTTATTTTGCTCTGGATAGCAGAAGGTTTTCTGGTTGAATTTGATTATGATATATATGAAGCACGTAAACAAGGGGAAGATATAATTTCCAGTCTAAAAGATGCTTGCTTATTGGAAAATGGTGTGGAAGAAGGTACATTTAAGATGCATGATGTCATAAGAGACATGGCTCTCTGGGTAGCTTGTGATCATGGGAAAAAGACAAAATTCTTTTCTGGAAATGTTTTTGGGACTAGTGGCCTTAAAGTATACAATCATGCAAAGTGGAAAGAGGTAGAAAAGCTGTCAATGTGGGGGTGGGGTGAAGCGAGTACAAACTTCTCACAAAAACCTCATTGTCCTAATCTCGTGACTCTGCTTATTAGGAATACTAGGATACAAGTCTTTCCAACTGAGGTATTTGTCCTTCCAAGCACTGTCAGAGTTCTAGACTTTTCTTTTGAACGTGGAATAAGAGATGTACCATCAGAAATTGGAGACTTTGTAAACCTTGAACACATGAACCTATCATATACTGGTATAAGAAAATTGCCAGAGGAGTCGAAGAATTTGAAGAAGCTGAGGTTCTTGTTGTTGGACGGACTAGGAGAGCTTGAATTCCCAGAAAAAGTTATATCTGGTTTGCTATCCCTTCAAGCTTTTAGCTCGACACGGTCAAAAGTTCGAGGGATTGATGAAAATGTGTTGTTGGATGAGCTAGAAGGCTTAGAGCATCTTCAAGATATGCGTTTATCTGTCATTAGCATATCCTCTATTGGAAAAATACTGATCTCCTCAAAATTGCAAAGGTGCATTTGTGGGTTAAACTTTGAAGGAGAAAGCTCACCACTCCATGACTTCTTCTCATCACTTGGAAAGATGGAGCATCTTGAAACATTACGAGTTTATTATTCTGACGTTGTGGATATTCCAAGGCGCTCATTTTGGGCACCTGATCATATAATCAACCTTCGAGAGTTGGTTCTCTATGGGTGTGGTAATAATATAGTTGACTTGAATTGGCTTATACATGCTCCAAACCTTGAAGTCCTTCAAATAAGAGATTGTGATTCATTGGTTGAAGTTGTGAGTGCAGATTTTGGGACTGCTGGCATTGAGAGAGTGAAAAGCAATCTATTTTGTAGTCTCACTTATCTTCATTTGGAATCTCTGAATAATTTAAGGAGCATTTGTAGAATACCATTACAGTTTCCTTGTTTGAAGGAGATTCGGGTAGCAAAGTGCCCCTATTTGAAGAAGCTCCCATTTAATTCTCAAAGTGCATTGAAAAGCCTACAACGCTTTACGGTATATCCTCATCAGTTGTTGGATCAATTGGAATGGGAAGACGAAGAAACCAAGCATCTTCTTTCATCAAAATTTGAAAGGTAATATTTCTGCAGAGTAAACGGAATCAGTTAAAGGCTTTAGAGTAAAATTATTCTTACTTTGCAAATGCTAATGCTTTCTTATTGCTCACCAGAGCACTGCATGCATATGAATATTTATCATGAGATTATAATGTCTGCGAATAATTTATTTTCCCAATATTTCATATGGATCATTGGACTTGGATTTCACGTTTTAAAATTCTAGAATTTTTAATTAAAGTATGCACAGCATATTTCAACCAAAAAAGTACAAATAACATATATGAAAATTTTGATATTGTCATGGTTACCTACATATGTCTTGCTTCCGCACTACTTCTATAGAACTGCAGGGAAAATGAAGAGAAATAAGAAATTTGTATTTCTTTTGACTTATCAATCTGCATGTGGTCTCTATACCCAAAAAAAAAAAAAACCTAGATGTGTTCTTTTACTTGGCTTGAAGTTTTTTGGGTTTTGTGCCCTTGATTTCTTTTTAGCTTTGGTCTTTGTCTTGTCTGTTTCTATTATTTAGTTAAAAAAGTTCAATGAGTATTTGGCAAAAAAAAATTATATGAATATAATTCTTTTTTCATTCCTAATTAAAACCATAAAGCTATTATATGCAATAAATTTATTGAAACTTATATAAGGAGTATAAAATCGTTTAATTTTTCAAGTCACATAGTTGTTATGAGATTTTTTAGTGAATATACTCCTTTTTTAGAACCTTATAGTAATTCTTCCTTAATTATTGGTGTTCATCTGCTAAACTTTGCATGCAGGGAATCATATACCAAGTCTGTACTGTGGAAGTTACTTCTGAAAACAATTGAGTGAGTACCTTTTATTGTAATGTTATGTATCGTTTCAAATACCTTTTATTCACATTACAACGCCATGTGGTTTAAGTTTCAACACTGTTTACCCATAAACAGTACCATAACATTGTATATTATATATTTTCTTTTATGTTATGATGGATTGCAACGGCGGTGCAAGTTTCATTATTCCAACCTACATATTAAGTCTTCAGTCTTTAAAGATCACGTTCATCTGATCTTCTCCATAATTCGAACCCACAAGGCTTCTCTACTCTTTCACTGGCCATCACGTTGTTTTATTTCCATTTCATCCTTGAGATGTCGATTTTCTCAGTGTCAGGTGCTGATGACTTTTGTTTTTATTGCAATAACTCTTCGAGCTACACTAATTTATATGATTAAACATATATATTTTGGAACTTGGGCGTGAGAAACCGATCATAAGCAACCATTAAAGATTTAGAGATGATTGGGTGGCTTTAGATGATATGGGCTTTCTTTGGTCAAAAAAAGAAAGATGATATGGGCTTTAGCCCAAAAGCCACTTTATTTTTAATTTAAAAAAAAAGATAAAATAAATCTCTGTTATAGTAATGGCGCTCTTTAATTCAGGTTTACATTCCCGTCCTACTCAGTTAGCAAGTTTGTTCTCCGGTGATTGCATGGGGGCCGTTTCCCTCTAAGTCCTTTTAGGCACCGTTTGGATGCACTTGCAAACCATGGTTTGGAAGCCCAAACCATGGTTTGCACAAAATGCTATCCAAACACCCCCCTCAAAAATCAAAATTATGGTTTTGGACCAAATTATGGTTTTAGTTCCAAAACCATGGTTTTGGAAAAAGCAAAAATTTTTTGCTTTTGGAGAAAAAAGGAAGAGTGTGAGAGCCTATAGGATATGTATCTTGTTATTTTTTTTATAAACATATTTTTTTATAAACATATTTAATCTTATATTTTATAAATATATATACATATTAATTATTAATTAATTATATTATCTTATGTATTATTAATTATGTTAATAAAAAATATATTATTAACAATTTTATTCCTCTAAATTAAAATATATCATAAAATCTATTTTTTCTGTAATTATCATATTAACTTATTTCTTTTTTTTAGTAATTTGTATATATAAAAAGTGCTTCTGATAACAACTATCCAAACACTCTCACTTCTCAAAATCACTTTTTCATAAAATCTATTCTTTCCAGAATCTATTCTTCCCAAAATCTATTCTCCAGAATCACTTTTCCAAACCACGGTTTGGTTTCATCCAAACACACCCTTAATACATTCTCGGGCTTAGCCCTCTTATTTACCCAAAAAAATGTGGGGAGACAAAAATCTTTTGTTTGGTCTGAAATCTGAAACTAGTCTTCCCACTCTTACCTCTATTAAAATATACATTACTTATTATCTCTCTATAATAAATTTTTATTTATTATCTCTCATGTACTATTTTCTTTCTATTTATAAGTTACATGCAAGGAGAAAATTTGTTCCTAAATATAAGTTGTTTGTAGGATAATCAATGATTTTTTTTCTAATTTTATCCCTGTTGACTTAAATAGGTGAGAAAAAAAATATAAAGCATATTCTTTTGTACCCTTCTTTTAATAAAGGAAAAAGTTGAAAAAAATTATTTAATTCATTTTTTGATTTACGGAATTGAGTACACATTTCAGTTTGTCGAATTAATTTTTTTATATAAAAATTAATCTAAATATAAATCATATTATACTGATAAAATTTTATCTTAGTCTGCGTTTGCGGAAGCAAAAGAAAAGGCTGATGCGCCATGATGCCATATGACCTGAATCATTTTTCTTTCGTGTCCACAAAGCTGGTCAGACGCCGTACTACTGGTTTTATGCTTATCTTCGATAGACTTTTCAATCTCAATAATGAGAAGTGTTGCTGCTGATAAATTTTATTTATTTGCGTTTATTAAAAAATTAATTAAAATTAATTAAAAATAATAAATACATAAGGTATATTTTTTTTTGCTAAATATGTTTTTATTAATGAAGAGAATAAGTAAAAGATAAAAAGAGAATGTATAGAATAAAATTAGAAAAAACTCGTTAAATGGTTAAACAAAAATAAATGTTATTTTATAAAAAAAATCAACTCCCTCTAACAAAATTTAGCTTATATTTTAAATCAGAAAGAATACCTTCTTAGTCCTTACTCTCCTTAGAAAAAGAAATTCTTTTATATTTTGTGAAACAAGTTTTTTTTCCAAGTATTTACATAAAACAGTGTAAAATTACTTAAACTAAACTAATTAATCTTTATACCAACATAATCTCTCATTCAAACTAGCACCTTGCATGGAATATCAATCAACTAATTTGCAAAAGCACCAAATCTTAAAATTACAAGAAAAGTAACGTTACATTTTTTTTTCCTTGTCGAAAAGAAGTCCAGCCCATTCTGCAGCAAGGTGATAGAGAAATACAAGCCAAGTGTTTTGGAGGTCGCTGTCCCAAGAATTGTCAGTCTAGCTACAAGCTACACAAGGATGTTACCCAGAAGCTGAGTGATGTTAATGATCTTATAAACAAAGGGCATTTTGATGCTGTAGCAGAAAGGTTTGCTCATGATCGGTTCGATGAACTTCCCTTAGGTAAAGTTGTGGGGGTAGAATCAACAACTGAGGAGCTGTGTTCATGGGGGCATCATCGGTTTGTATGGAATGAGAGGGGTAAGCAAAACAACTTTGCTTAAGAATTGAACAATGATTTCCTCTCAAAGAAACAAACCATGTAGTTATCTGGGTTGTGGTGTCTAAAGAAATAGATGATGAAGGAAAAAGTCAAGATGCCATTAGGAAGAAATTGCGTGTTGAAGGCGATAAATGGAATAATAAGACAATGGATGACAGAACTCTTTTGTTATACAATATCTTAAATAAGAAGACATTTGTGTTGTTATTAGATGATGTGTGGAAAAGGATTAACTGCTGGAAATGGGGGTTCTTTCCCCCTAAAATCATGAATGCAAGATAATATTCACAACTCGGTAGGAAAATGGATGCCAGCAAATGGATGCACAGAGAAGTAGTAAAGTAAGTTACCTCATGCCAGATAAAGCATTTGATTTGTTCAAGGAAAAAGTGGGTGAAACTACTCTTGAAACCCTCATATATATATATATGGTGTCTTGCAAAGAAAGTGGTGAAAGAGTGTCAAGGCTTGCCACTTGCTCTTTGTATTGTTGGACGTGCCATGGCTAACTAGGTCACTCCCAATGAATAAAAGCGTGCTACAAAAACTGAGGAGTTATCCATCAAAGCTCCAAGGTATTGTTAAAGATGTCTATTGCTTACTTGAATTTAGTTATGATAGATTACCAAAAGATACCTACAAATCATGTTTTATGTATTGTGTCTTATTCCCTCAGGATTATAACTTTAAAACACAAAAGCTTATTGCAATGTTGCCAACTCGCTCAATGACCCAAAATAGACCAAAATACACCAAAGCTAATTTCTGAAAATGATGAAGAGCAACAGAATGCTATCGATATGGTTGAAGTTTCACCAAAACCTAGTCATCAACCTGGAATTCCACTTCCCATCTTGGTGAAGGATGTTGACCTTTAGTTGTGCAATTAATTCATCTTGGTGCTCCAATTCCTGGTGGACATCGAAGGGAGTATCCTCCGGAGATGAGTGTCGAATCAGTGGTAGGGGATCACAATCGTACACAATCTTAAAAGGAGTCATGTTGGTAGAGTGATGGAATGAGGTGTTGTACCACAGCTCAGCCCATGGAAGAGATGCGAGCCATTTCGTCAGGTAGTCATAAACGAAGCACCACAAATAGATTTCCACACACTTGTTGAGTGCCTCTAATTGACTGTCCGTTTAAGGATGGTACACCGAACTAAAATTTAACTGGGTTCCTTGTAGCTTCATAAGGTGCCGCCAAAAAGCACTCATAAATACCTTATCCCTGTCTGAGACTATTGTCTTTGGAATGCCATGTAATTTGACAATACGCTGAATGAAGACCTTTGCAACCTAAGTGCTAGAAAAATTACCAAGGAGGGTGATAAAGTGCCCATACTTAGAGAGACATCCTACAACCACCAATATAGCAGAAAATTATTAATCTTTGGTAACCCTACAATAAAATCCATAGCAATATCCTCCCAAATACGGTCCGGAACTAGTAAAGGATTGAGTAAT